ATACGCTTCCCAAAAGAGTAATCAAAACATTGAAGAGTAAAGTGGCTGGATTATATTCTTTTGGGAGTCCTCTAATAATAAACAGAAACATCATTGGGTTAGATGGAAATAACTTTGCCTTCCTACAGATGAGGGAGGGTTGGGAATCAGAGCCTTGTTGGACATTGAAAAAACATTTTCTTTAAAACTATGGTGGAAATGGAAAACTTGTAGCTCTTTTGGACTGGTTTCTTAAAGGGTAGATTCCCCAAAATGGCAATATGACCCCCCAAAGTCATTGATTCCTCAATTTGGAAGAGGATTTGCCACATAAACTCTACTCCTATGTCTCTTAGTGAGGTTAGTTTAGAAGGAACTATGGATTGGTTACCGGAAGAGGATGGTAGATTTACACTTAAATCTGCCAACAATATGATTAGATCAGAGCTCTCCGGTACTTTATCATTTTACACTTAAATCTGCCTACAATATGATTTAATGAGCAGGCTTGTATCTCTTTGAAGGTGTCCATCCAACCACCATAGCAACAATTTGATATAATTTCTCCTCAATCAAGCAGTTTGTACCTCGCCCCCTCTCCCATGTCCACTGGTAGCCATCAAAAGGAATATTGTTGAGCCCAGTCCCCAATATTGTCTCCCGAAAACCATTGATGCGCCAATTGGGTTGCGGTATCGGGCTCCTTTCAGGTGAAACCTTTTCTTCAACTTCAAGTAGCTGCCTTGATAAATCGCGAATCAGGTTCCATGAATCTCTACGCCTATTTCTTTCGGGAAAACCATAAAATCCCATGAATCTCCATTTTGGTTCATCCTCTGCCAACTGTATTAAGCAATCAATATAATTCACACCCCAATCTTGAACTTGGAACTTAATGAAGAAGAATATTCGAGCTCCATCGACAACCAAGAGAAGATCTTTATTAAAAGGTGAAATTCATAAGAATAATCCCTACTCTCAGGGATTCTAGAATAATAATCTCTATTGAGAGTGTCCATAAAAATAATCTCACACACACATCTCTCTCTAGGGAAGCGGCTAGGCAGTAAAATCAGAGTCACAAAAGAAGAAAACACCAAAATGGAAGAAGAAAGGATGCATCAATGGGCATTACAAAGTTGCATTATAAAACTAGACTAAACCCATTATGTAGATAAACAAACATAATTATGTAATGTTGATTGCATTTCAAAGTTGTTATTACTTAAGTAACCAAACATTATAATGGAATAGAGATTCTATTCCATTACATTGCATTTTGTATTACATTACGTACTTCATTCCATTACATTGTCTTATATCATACCAAACATTGCCTTAATATAAAGTGGTTTGTTTTGATGATAACAAAAATCTTCAATGGATCAAATATTCATTAATATTACATCAATGCACGTTTACTTTAAACGATATACTCATTGTCATTGACAACACAAAGCTCCTTTTAATAGCCTCCGTCGAAGAGTACTCATTTTAAAAGATTATATCAATACACATTCACTGTAAACATTATACTCATTTGAGTATAAGATAAAACTCATTCAAAGGTATATTATTTGCAAATAACCTTAATGTGACTAATTCTTTTACTCAAATATGAGTATATTGTATAACAATAAATATTAAGAAAATTTATTTATAATAAGTAGTTTTTTTATAAAAATGCATCAAACAATAAAATAATTCACCAAGATAAGAATGAACATTCACTTTTGAATTTTTTCAAACACTTGATGGGCATTCAATATTTAGGTAATAATTTAAAAAATATGGAGTATTACTAATGAAAGATGGGTAGATATTTTAATCAAATTATCATCCCATTTATACTTTAAAAGGAAAGAAATTCACTAGAAGTAAATTAAAATTCTTGATATAAACTAAAAAAAGCAGAAAAAGAGAAGCAATAAAAGGAAAGTAGGGAGAATAAATTAAAAGGAAGGAAAGAGAAGTGGGTGTGCGCATAAGGTACGTAGAAATAACTTAAAGCAACCAAGAGCAGCAAACCTTTGACATCAAAGTTCTATTATATTACAAAAATACCGGGTGTATAAGTACACCGTGGTGTATCATATAAATTGCCCTCAACATTGCTCTTTTCAAAGCCATCACAACAACAACAACAACTAAACCTTAATCCCAAAAGATTTTGGCGTCGGCTAACATGAACCGATCCATGATATCGATGCCAAAACGAAGAAGACAGACAAGAAGAAAAAAAGGATAAAACGAATAACATAAAGATAAATAAATATAAGATAACAATAACATATGAATATAAGAAATATAAAAGATTAAAAGATAAAAGATCATATATATATATATATATATATATATATATATATATAAAGTAGAAGGTAAAATAACATAAGAACATAAAAAGAGAAAAGAAAATGAGAGAGAAGAAAAATAGAAAAGAGATCAATCGTCTACACTAATGTGTGTCCTCCACTTTACCCTCTCCAAAGTCATACTCTCATCTAAGCTAAAAAGACGCATATCAGTTTGGGTCTTCCCCCCTCTCTCCTCTCTGTCTCTTCTCCCCACCCCTCAAGTCGTCTAACAAGTGCATCACTCGATCTTCTACGCACATGCCCAAACCACCGCAAATGAGACTCCTGCATCTTATCTTCTATAGGTGCTACTCCCACCTTTTGTCTTATTATCCCATTCCTCAAACGTTCTTTTTTGGTATGCCCACACATCCAACGCAACATCCGCATCTTTGCCACACTCATCTTTTCAAAGCCATACACACACAAAAATCTTAAGTAGATCCAAGTGTTAAAATCAATATTTCATGGTTAATTAAAATATTTTATTTACATCTTTCGATTATTTCAAAAAATAGGTCTGAGTGAACAATAAAAAAAATTAAACTTCAAATTTATCTATATATATATATATATATATATATATATATATATATATATATATATATATATATATATATAATACGGAGTAACAAAATAGTGGGAGGGATATTTTGGGCGAGAACACGGTAGCATTTTGGGAATAGTATTATTGTATTTATTTATTGTCTTTATATATATATATAGGGATGAGTTCAAGTAAAAAGTAGTTTTCCCATGAAAAGTGAGAATAAATCTTGGTCTTCCATCACTTGAAAATAGATGGATTGGATGAACTTTAAACACAAGAGATGATTTCAAAAATTGTGCAAACGTTTATACTATAAAGTGGATAATTACTGATTAAAAGTGTACTCATGCGAGTCAAATAAAATTATCAAAATTTTCCATCTTGTGCACTTTTATTTTGTACTGTATTGCACTTTTGTGCTCTACGTGTGCACTTTTTGACTATTCTGATGCACATTTGTCACAATATTTTCAAAAAAAGTTTTCCATAATTACAAAAATGTCACCGCGTTTCCAACTTAAAAATTGATCTCTTCCACCCATTTTATCACATCAATGGCCAAGATTAGTTCTTATTTTTCACCCAGGAAGTACTTTTTATTTGAACCAAATTATATATATATATATATATATATATATATATATATATATATATATATATATATATATGATTTGCGGATTATAATAGTGGGCACAGTTAGAGAGTAATAAATGCTAATTAAGAGGGCCCTTTTAGCTAGCAAGGTAAAGAGAGAACGACGTGCTCTAGGCCCACTGGTCCAGGGCCGTCTAATGAATTTGGAGGCCCCGATTAAAAATGTAAAATTGGGGCCCCACATTAAAATAAAAAATTTAAAAAGAAATCTCAATCCAAATACTTATATTCAAATCAATTGAATACTCATTAAAAGAGAACTAAAAGAGTAAAAGGATCACCGAGAAAATTGATGTATCTATATTTTTCTTCTTTACTAGCTAACTGTTATTTACTGATTAGTATTAGTATACAATATTACTATATAGTACTAATAAGTTTAAAAAAATATGGGGCCCCTTAAATTTGAGATCATGTTTTGGATAACCTATTGAACCTCTTAAAAAATAGACCTATGCAGTGTGTAGGCCTTTAGTATTCATTCTCATTCCAATGCAAGAAATATTAGGGAGTATTTAATGAATCCCTTGGGTTTGAATCAATCGTTTCATCTTTTTTCAAAGAATTGAAAATTTCAAGAAGAGCATCCAGCCTACAAGCAAAGAAAAGTTGTAAGGCATTTCTCAATGATTTTCATGTGACTTATCAAGTTGGTCCTGGACAATAAAAATTCTACTCCTCAATTATTATACGGTTGGCGGCCCTATAAAACTGAATAGTCACTTTCATTTCTTTTTGTGACAACTTAACACCCCTTGAATTTCTTACATTGATCATTTAAATGAGGTATAAAAGGCCTTCAAAATTTGGTATGCACATCCTATTTTTTCAATAGCAGGCGGTGGGTTCTTCAGGTACTATTTTTCTATAATATGACAAACGTTAAAATGTAATTGTATATTTGAATGTCAAATACATTATACATTTATCGACTGGTGTTTTGAGTAGAAAAAATTAGCTATAAAACTAAATGGAAGTAACTCAGTAGCCTTGAGCAAAGAAAACCAATCGCAAAAATTAAAAAATCAACCATATGAAGAAAAAGAAATACGACAGTAAAATTGATCGAATGAAAAAATAACAGCAGTATGACATCGAATGAATTAAAACTAAATTACCAAAATTGAGACACAAAATCAGTAGTCCTTCTACTCCTAACTTAACTATGAGATATTTTTAAGGATGCACTTAAAAGTCATATACGAATAAGGCTAATATACTAATATATATTATTATAGAATTAGATAAGAATGTAAATAAAATATAAATGCATATAGATGTACATCGGACATTTGATTACTGAATTGAAAATGTTAGCGTGTTAGTGGATTAAGGGCTTAGCCCATTTTATATTTGTTTGTATTTACTTGTATATTACTATGGGCTAAGGGCTTGAATCATTACGAAAGATCTTGTATATATATTACTTCAATCTTGATCAATAGAGACATACGAGTTTATACCCTATGATTATTCTAATACATACTGCCTCAGTTTATAGCATGGTATCAGAGCTGCCAAGGGGGGTTACGCATCTTTCTTCTTCCTCAATTTAAAGCCGCGCAGTGTGCGCGTCTTCGAGTGCAGAAGAAAATCTGCCGTCTTCGATCTTCGTCGTTTGGCTCGGCACCAGCGTGTCCTAGGAGCCGGCGAATATGGGGGATACTACATCGCCCTATTACCTTGACTCCGGTGATCAACCGGGCAACCTTATAGCACATATGATTTTCAAGGGGGTTCGAACACACGCTGTGGCGACCTCTCTGCTACCAGCGGCCGAAGGCTCGAGTTCATTTAATACGGACAATATCGGTTTGGCTAATTTAAGCAATGAGCAGGTTAAGGCTGTTTTGAATTTAATTAAAGAAGATGCTCGAACTTGTGACCGAAAATCGGGTAAATATTCTTGTGTCAAGTGGATTATTGATACCGGGGCCTCTCAACATGTTACGAGTGATGTGACGTGTCTTGTTGATCCCGTGACTATTCCTGCTTGTTCGGTTGGATTGCCGGATGGGCGTACTGTGAGTGCGGTCTTGACCGGCCGTGTACCATTATCTCGGGAGCTGATTCTTGATCATGTTCTCTACGTGCCTGGACTGAATTGCCATCTCATTTCTGTTTCACAATTGGCAGATCAATCTAATTGCCTTGTCACTTTTACTAACAATTTTTGTGCTATACAGGACCTACGCTCGAGGAACCTGATTGGAGCCGGTGAAAGACGGGATGTGCTCTTTTATTTTAGAGGAGTGACGACATTGCATACTGTTCAGACATCAGCATTCTCGGAGTTTGAACTGTGGCATCGTCGAATGGGTCATCCTTCTGATCGGGTCCTGAAATTATTACCTGTTATTGCTTCCAGTTCTTCTCAGAAAAAGTTGAATAAAGCTTGTGAGGTGTGTCCACAAGCCAAACAAGTTCGTGATTCTTTTCCTGCTAGTAATAATAAAGCAAGTAGGATACTTGAACTTATTCACTGTGATCTGTGGGGACCCTATAAAACCCCGTCCACTTGTGATGCTGTTTACTTTCTTACTCTTGTGGATGATTTTTCACGCGCTGTGTGGGTATATTTATTGCGTGATAAAAAGGAGGTTCATCAATATTTTCTCTCATTTATCGCTATGGTTGAAAAACAATTTTCACTTTCTGTCAAAATTGTGCGTAGCGATAATGGGACTGAGTTCAAATGCATGCAACCATATTTTGACACTCATGGAATTTTATTTCAAACTTCCTGCGTCCATACACCCCAGCAAAATGGGAGAGTGGAGCGCAAACACCGACACATCTTAAATGTTGCACGTGCCTTGATGTTTCAAGCTAGTCTGCCTATTACATTATGGGGTGAATGTGTACTTACAGCTGTGCATTTAATTAATCGCACTCCGTCTGGAGTTTTGGGTGGGAAGACACCCTATGAACTTTTGCATGGTGTTCCGCCCAATTTCTCTCACTTGCGCGTATTTGGCTGTCTTTGCTTTGCTCATAATGCTTACTCACGAGGAAATAAATTCTCTCCACGGAGTCGTCGTGGTGTTTTTGTTGGCTATCCACATGGTAAAAAGGGGTGGAAGATATTTGATTGGCACACGGGTGAAATTTTTGTGTCCCGAGACGTGATTTTTCATGAGGATGATTTTCCTTTCTCGACACCTATGCATGAGCCCCAGGTAGTTTTGGCGCCGGACAGTACAACTACACCTATGGTGGTTGATCCCGATCCTGTAGTTGTGACTCCGGCAGCGGCAGAACCTCCTCCGACAGCCCCTACAAACGCCACAACTGTGCCTGCTCAATCTGAAACTGAATCCCTCGGCCGTGGTCTACGCTCGCGGCGTCCGTCTATTTTGCTACGTGATTTTGTCACACATCACGTCCAAAAATTGAGCCCATCCCCGTCAGCCACCTCCTCCGTTAGTTCCTCAGGTACGCCGTATCCTATAGCTAACTTTATAAAATGTGACAAGTTCTCTATACGCCATCGTTGTTTTCTTGGAGCTATACTTGCAGGGCATGAACCCCGATCATTTAAAGAGGCAATGACCGATGTCGGTTGGCGTCAGGCTATGCAAAGTGAGATTCAGGCACTAGAAAATAATCATACTTGGGTTATGGAGCCGCTTCCGCCAGGTAAAAAGGCTCTTGGATGCAAATGGGTGTACAAAATTAAGTATCACTCTGATGGCACTGTTGAACGTCTTAAGGCTCGTCTTGTTGTGTTCGGTAATCACCAGCAAGAAGGTATTGATTATACTGAGACATTCTCCCCCGTGGCGAAAATGGTTACTGTTCGCATGTTTTAGCTGTTGCTGTCGCTAAAAACTGGGAATTACATCAACTGGACGTTCATAACGCTTTTCTTCACGGGGACTTGGATGAGGAGGTCTACATGAAACCTCCTCCCGGATTTCTTTCTTCTCGGCCTGGGCAGGTGTGCCGACTGAAGAAGTCATTATATGGCTTACGTCAGGCACCTCGATGTTGGTTTGCAAAATTGACTGCTTCTTTGAAGCAATATGGATTTCGGCAATCTTATTCTGATTATTCTCTCTTCACTATGCATCAGGGGTCGGCTCAATTATATGTCCTCATTTATGTTGATGACTTAATTATCGAAGGCAATGATTGTGGTGCAATCTCTCGCTTTAAATCTTATCTGCATAAATGTTTTCATATGAAAGATCTTGGTATTCTTAAGTATTTTCTTGGGATTGAAGTGGCTCGAAGCACTGATGGTCTTTTCCTTTGTCAGCGCAAATATACACTGGACATTATTTCTGAAGCCGGTCTTCTTGGGGCAAAACCTGTGGCCTTCCCTATTGAACAAAATCATGGCTTGGCTCTATCTCAGAGCGCTCTTTTGGCTGATCCGGAATCATATCGCCGGCTTGTTGGTCGTCTTATTTACTTATCCTTTACCCGACCAGACCTGGCCTATGTTGTTCATATTTTATCTCAGTTTATGCAGGCTCCCCAACAAGATCATTGGATGGCAGCCTTAAGGGTTGTTCGGTACCTTAAAGGCTCCCCGGGTCAGGGAATACTTTTCAGCTCTATTTGTGATTTGACTCTTACAGGCTGGTGTGATTCGGATTGGGCCAGCTGTCCCCTTACGCGCCGTTCTCTTACAGGCTGGATAATTTTTCTGGGATATTCTCCCATCTCGTGGAAGACAAAGAAACAACACATTGTGTCTCGCTCCTCAACCGAGGCCGAGTATAGGTCCATGGCGGATACCACGGCCGAACTAAAATGGGCTAAGGGTCTTCTTCTTAGTCTTGGCATTGATCATTCGAGTTCTATGTCCTTATTTTGTGATAGTCGTTCCGCTCTTCATATTGCACATAACCCGGTATTCCACGAGCGCACCAAGCACATTGAAGTTGATTGTCACTATGTTCGCGATGCTATTCAGAATGGGTTGCTCGTTGCTCGTCATGTTTCTACTACGGATCAACTTGCTGGCATCTTCACTAAAGCTTTAGGCAAGCGTCAATTTCTCTACCTTCTTGGCAAGTTGGGCATTTTTGAACCCCATGCTCCAACTTGAGGGGGGTGTTAGCGTGTTAGTGGATTAAGGGCTTAGCCCATTTTATATTTGTTTGTATTTACTTGTATATTACTATGGGCTAAGGGCTTGAATCATTACGGAACATCTTGTATATATATTACTTCAATCTTGATCAATAGAGACATACGAGTTTATACCCTATGATTATTCTAATACATACTGCCTCAGTTTATAGCAGAAAACAAATACTTCCTCCGTTCTTTAATAAGTGCAACACTTTCCTTTTTCGGCAGTTTCATATTAAGTGCAACCTTTCTCTTTTAAGAAATAAATTATAAGCAAAATTCCCTCTATACCCTTAATTATTTTGTGCACCTTCCCCAACCTAACAACTTTTACTCCTCCACCCACCCGTCCACCGCTTCAACCCTCTTCTTTACACCTCCACCAACCCCTTCTGTTTTTCTTCTTTATATGCCCAACGTCTTTAACTTTCTGTACCACGCAGATGTAAAACTATGAGTACCAAAGTTTAATTCTGATTGTTCTTCCCCTTCACTTTCAGTTTCAGAGAAGATGGATGAAAATACTTCAACATCTGGATCGAAGACATCATCAGCAAATACACCTTCATCTTCAAGTTGAAGCAGCTCTTCTACAGAGATATTCTCTTCCATTGCTAAAGAGAAGCACTGTTGTTTTGCTCTTCCGTTTTGTCCTTCCTGAGAGTGCTGGTTTCTCTTACGTTAATTTGGGGTCACAGAAGGATGGAAATAATTTGCCTGGTTGTATAAATAGATTAATTGAATGTGGTGGGAAATTTTTTGACTTTTGGAAGTAATGGCGGCAAGTCTGATGCAGCTTTTGCCCACTATTAATTGGTTGTAAAGCATTGGTCCACTATTAAGCACTGTAGCAGCGAAAAGTAGAGTCCAACTTTCTGTCTATGTCACGAAGGACAAAATAGGAAGTGTATAACACCTTTCTATCCTTCTTATTTTCTGCGCCAAAGTGCATGTTGCACTTAATTCCGAACGGAGGAAGTACTAAAGAGAGCATGATCTGCAATTTAGTGCAGGCAAAATTTAGTGATTAGTGATGATCGAAGACAATGATATGGATTGTAAATGATGGCATCTATCAAAGTTGATAGATCGAAGCGAATACTGGTAGTAATTTAATTTTAGCTTGTGCTAATGAATTTAGGTCAACCAGTGAATGGAGCGCTAGATCTGAGATGGTCCAGAAATGTTTTGTAGTTGCCTTCTAATTTTGTTGTTTTAGTTTGAGTCTTTCTCATTTGATTTTTAGTTTAATTCATTTTTAGATGAAATTTTGAATATCAAATACAATTCAAAGAGAGTAGATGTCGGTTGTTGGTAATACTGAAATTGGATGAATTTGATTAAGTCGATGAAATTTTTGTTGATGCGGTTTGATTGATTGAATTTGCTGCATTGTGTAAAAAATTGATTTTTAATAATAAAGTAAAGAAAAAATGAAAAATAGCTAAAATGATGCTTTGCAGTGACTTCGAGTTATTCCCTAACTGCACCCTTTATATACATATAAAACGCAGTTATCTACCAAAAATCGTTTGACTGCCTTCCCGATTGAATTTTTTGCTGAAATTTAGTATGAATGTACTAGACTTGATGAAGAACATGCTCAAAAAATTTCATCGAAAAATTCCACAGGGAAGGACCTCAAAAAGTGGAGGCCGCACGGAGGCTCCGGTAAGGTATACCTTACCGGAAGATTTTCCTATATATATATATATATATATTGGTTCAAATGAGAACACCTCTATATAGAGAATCAAATAAATAGTGGTTCCTAGATGAAAAATAAGAACTAATCTTGGCCATTGATATGAAAAAATGGATGGAAGAGATCAAATTTTAAGTGAAAAACGAAGTGACGTTTTGGTAATTATGAAGAACTTTCAATAAAATTTTTATACAAAAAGTGTACCAACATATGCAAAAAGTGTACATGCAGAGTACAAAAGTACATAACGGTACATCATAAAATGTGCACAAATTTAAAAAAATGGCAATCTTTTTTATCTCTTATGAGTGCACTTTTATTCATTCAATATCCACTTTGTAGTTTGTACTATAAACGTTTGCACATTATTTGAGTCTGTATCTTGTGATTAAAGTTCATCCAGTCCATCCATTTACAAGTGATTAAAGGCTAAGATTTGTTCTCACTTTTCATGGGAAGACTATTTTTTACTTAAACCAACCCTTATATAGACACACACACACACACACACACACATATATATATATATATGGATGAGTTCAAATGAGAAAACATCTTAACGTGTAAAATGAGAATTAATCTCAGCCGTCCAAAGTGTCGATCTGATGCACAATAACCCCTATTCGATATTCAAGAAAGGAAACATTTTATTAAAGAAAAGATGACAGTAAAAAGTACAAGACAAAAGAAGGAAAAAGAGAAAGAAAAAAGAAATATAAGGAAAGCAACAAACAAATAAAAGCCCAACTCTAAGTATTTGGAAGCCCCATCAAAGGAACTCCTTTCTCCCTAATCCAGCCCCATCAAAGGAAACCCTTTCTCCCTAAGCCCTTATTGAAAAGCATCAGCGCTCTGTACGAGTTTGAGATCGTGTTCTCATACGATGTGAACGTTGATTCCTCTTTCTGTAAGTATTCATCTGCAAATTCAAATTGCTCGTAGGCAGACAGTTATCCCTCGTCACCTGCAACGCCTTATATATATATATATATATATATATATATATATATATATATATATATATATATATATATATATATATATATATATATATATATATATATATATATATATATATATATATATATATACACACACACACACACATACATATTATAGGGGAAAGATCAAGTACAAACTGTGTTTATTGTGCAAATGTTTGTACGATGCACCTTGACGTTATTTGCATTGCATATTGAAGTTCAAAGTGTTGCATATTATATAGTCATAAAATAGCAGTTGCACATTAACATTCAACGAGTTGCACCCTAGAAAAGTTAGGTTTTATTACAAAAATGCCACCTTGCCTTTATATCCTTTAGATCAACTCATTGTATTTGAATCTTGAACTTTATAATATCAACCATTTCCATGTGGATCGACCTAGTATTAACTGATATTCTATTACTACATCGACACTTGTATACTTCCAAGTTTAGCCCGATTAAGTTTTTGGCGTTGTTGTCAGGAAAACGGTTGATTTTTATAAAGTTAAAAAACATACACACTTTGAATGTCACTTGTTCTTGTAGTTTGCTTTTGCAGAAAATTCCTTGTGTTTGCATGCTCTTAAGAAGTCAAGGGTCTAAGAACCTTGGAACTCTTGACCTTGAAATCAAAAGAACGTGCAAACACATCTTCAAATACACCCGAAGGGCAAAGATGATGACCACAATCAATGAAAGGAACAAGCCCGTTGTTGCCGCCACCCCCTCATGTATTGTCCTAAGTGAGACGACTATAGATTATGAAATGAAGAATAGCTACTTCAACGATATGCCTCATGGTCATCCAATGAGGAAACCACTCAATTTCATCAGCGAATTATAGATGTCCATTCAAGAAATTCCTAGACATGGCCTTACCACGAATGATCTCAAACTCAAAAGTTTTCCCTACACCTTGAAGGGGGCGGCAAGGGGGTGGTTCTTGGAGCAAACACCGACAACCTATACAACGTGGGAAGGTATCTATAATATTTTCATTTCAAAATATTACACACCCACTATGAACCAAAAGCTTATGCAACAGATCTTCAACTTCAAACAACAAGTTGGAGAACTCCCCCAAGATGCATGGAGGTGTTTTAAGGCCTTTTTGAAGGAATGCCCACACCACCACATTCCTCTTGATCTTCAAATTAACACATTCTACCATGGTTTGAACTCCCCATGCCAAGCCAATGTAGACAACTGTGCGGAAGGTTATGTTGGGAATAAAACCGAAACAGAAGCTTTGAGAGTTATTGAATCTATTGCTTCGAATTCTTAATTACAAAGAGGAGCAAAACAGTGTGGGTGAAGTCTCTATCAGTCATGAATTGGACAAACGGTTTGCTGATTTTTGACAAGCAAGGCACAAGGATCTGCAAGCTTCTATGCACACGGCTTTACAAGCCGTCATTAGAGGGGTCAAGCAAGTGGCCAACGTGGAGAGCGTAGCACGACCAGGAGGTAAATTATTTCAAACTCCCGCGAAGAACGACAACAATTGACGCCAGTAACATGCCCATCTGGCACCAGTCGTCCTGATTTTTGCACAAAGCAGTAGAACATGCTGAAATATAGTGAAGAGATGTGAAGATTTTGGAGGTTGAGAGCTAAGAAATTTCCTTTGATCCGATTTTTGATCGTGAATAGACTAAAAGATGCTAATATTTAGCCTATATATAAACCCCCATTTCCTTCCCTTAATTATCACCCATATATATATTACATAGCTTAATTCATAGCTTTTATATTTTGTTCTTACTGTTTTTCTTCAAGTTCTTGTGGAGGGAAGTTTATTCTCCGAAATCATTGGCATTTAAGTATTATTTCTTTTGTAATTTCATATTTCTTTACATTTAATTGTTGTATTGTGATTAACCTTTACATTAGGGGCTAATTTATTATCTAAGACTATGGATGAACCTTTGGGTGCACTAGATGTTTAATAAAAGTTCTGAACCAATAAATTGTGATTCATCCTTTACACTTTGATTGTTTATGACTATGGTGTACAACATAGAAGTATGTTAAACTTAGTTTATGTTTGGAATTAACGTTGATGTCTAAAATATAAACTATGATGTCTTGATATTCAACAAGGTTTTGAGTATGTAAGTTGTACGGGACTTACACGTAACAAAAACAACTCTCCCGCTACCTTAACCGGAGTTGAAAATATATTAACGACATCATATTCATAATTATTGGGAAAGAACTAGTATTATTTCCTATTAAAACATTTAGGTGAATATCGATTGCCTTAGTAATCTTTATTCTTGTTTAAACCAATACCAATAACAAATCCCTACAATTTAATATCAATTATATACTTTTGTATTTGAATCTCGAACTTTATAATATCAACCATTTCTCTGTGGATCAACTTGATATTTACCAGTATTTTATTATTACATCGACACTTGTATACTTGCAAGTTTAGTAATATCCACTGTTCTAAAAATCGGTCTAGGCGGACTGATTAATCGGCCTAGGCGACCTAGTCGGCCCTAACTGCAGAGACCTAGTCGGTCGAAAAATCGCCCTAGTCGGCCAAAAAATCGGCCTAGTCGGCCGCCTAGGCGCTAGGCTCCCCTCAACCGTTCGACTAGCACCTAACGAGTTTTAGAACAATGGTAATATCATATAACAACCTATGACTTAAATGATCCAACCTCACTCACTGGTCTAATTACAAAACCAAGGCCACAATCCCACTCGTTATCTGTCAATTTGTGATTAAACTCCAATTTACATTATTCCGGTTAACTGTCTGATCGGAGTTCAGGATGAGGTGTATCTTTTTTTTTTTTGGAAATCAAAAGACTATTAGTAACAGGGGAAAATAATTAAAATATCTCAAACTTTGAAAGGGTGTGAGATGAACACCCCAAACTTGCATATGTAATTTAAATACCCCAAACTTTATATAAAAAGTTATTTTAGCACCATACTCAAGTATTATTTCTTTAAAAAATGTAAGGTGTTAATTGAATAATAATTTAAAATATTTTAAAATTCATGAAGACACAATTAACATTCTAAACTTCAATTGCGAAATAAATAATGTTAGACCCAATCTATATAATTGCAACACTTTTAATTTGATATTTTAAATTATGCAATTAACCCCATAAATTTCTATTTTTGCAATAAATAATACATGACAATGATGCAAACTTTTTATATATAGTTTGGAGTATTTAAATTACACATGTAGTATTACTTTTCCATCAGTAATACTGGTGCTATTTCTTCTAGGAAATTTGTATATATATATATCCTACACCTCGTTAAACATTGTATATGTATATCAATATAGATGAATGATCACCTCAAGGTAGTTCTGACGGGAAGCCCCGTCCGAACATGCCTATCAGAGGCCCTTCTAGGTGGAATTTTTTGATTAAATTCTTTTGAGCATGTTCTTAATGAAGTCTAGTTTATATACAAAAAATTTCGGCTAAAGATTCAATCATGAAGACAATCAAATAATTTTTGGAAGATAATTGTGCCAAAATACACATATAAAAAGGGAGAAGGTACAAATATACTCCTGCACTATGGGTGGGAGAACAAATATACCCATATTCTATTTTTTGGAACAAATATACCCCCGAAGTATATGTTGAAATGCATATATACCCCTGAACTTTTAAAAAGTGCAAAAATACCCCTCATGTTCTTATAAAGACGTAAATTTACCTTTATTGATTTTAAATAGATAAAATAAATTTCAAAAAACACCAAAAATAAAATATAAATTTGAAATTTAAAAAAATGATTTATTATTATTAAAATATTACGTAGTAATTCTTTAATTTTAAATTTCAAAATTTTTTAATTTTCCGTGGTAAATGAAGCTAAATCATTAATACTAGTATTGCTTTTAGTCTTGTTATGAAATTTTGAACACATTGTTATATTTTTTTAAATAACATTCTTTGATTTTCTTTAAACTTAATAAAATTAAATTCACTATTTTGTAATCTTGAACTATTTATCATTATACAAAATATGTAATTTTGTAGTGCAACGAATGAAAAAAAAATATTTTTTTTTGTATTGGAACACATAAGTTAACACTTTTTTCGAAAAAACTTAAATATATAGTAATGTTTTGAAATAACATTTTATAATAAAAATATTTAAATGTGATTTACAAACAATAAAAGGGAGAATTGGACACAAGTAAATTTTTAAAATTTTTATTTTTTAATTTTGAATTTATAATTTATGTTTGGTGTTTTTTGAAGTCAATAAGGGTATATTTGCTCCTTTATAAGAATATGAGGGGTATATTTGTACCTTTAAAAAAGTTCAAGGGTATATATGCACTTTCACACATACTTCAGGGGTATATTTGTTCCGAAAAATAGAATAGGGGTATATTTGTTCTCACACTCATACTACAGGGGTATATTTGTACCTTTTCATAACATAAAAATGCAGTTACGTTACAAAAATTGATTAGTAACATTTCCAAAGTTTCATCAAAAAATTAACCCGGAGGGTCCTCTAGCAAGTTCGGATGGGCTTTCCCTGAGGGTGATCATTCCTCTATCAATATATAAATCCGCAAATCTATCAATATACAAAAATTAACCCGAAAGGTCCTCTGGCAAGTTCAGATATATGGGGCTTTCCCTGAGGGTGATCATTCCTCTATCAATATATATCCACGTGCACTGTTTTACTGATCCTAAGGACCCGTTTGGTGGTTTACACATTAAAACTTTGCATGTAAAATGATTACATATAAAGTTTGGGGCGGTAAAATACTTTGCATGTAAAATAGAAATACACTGTTGAACACATTAGTACTCCGTATAAAATAAAATAAGGTATACTCCGTATAAGCTAATCCTGGAACACGCTGCCGTTTTTTTTATGACGGTGAGATTTACCGATGAAGGTGAGATTTGCCGTAGATGATCTTTTTCTGTGAGGGAAAATTATTAAACCACGATGTAAAGAAGAGACCCAAATTACCAGGGTGCCTAAAGTATTAACTGAAGTATTACAGCAGATGGAAAGGTATTTGTCCATGATGGTATGAAACCATGATTTTGTTTTTTTACACGAAATATTGGAGAAAACCCTAGCTTTTGCCGTGATTTTTCCCTCACGGCCAAGGTCCGGTGTATAATTCATTCTCCAAATTAATGGATGTAAAATAGTTTACTATCCTCCCCCACGTAAAATATTTTACACGTTATAGTGTAAACCGTTTTTAAAAAGTGTCCTACAATTTACATTGAATATTTAAAACAAACAGGATAAAACGTTTACTTTCCTACACTTCAAAATGTTTACTTTACACCGCACCAAACGGGCCCCAAGTTCATCTGTCTATCACATTTAGTGAAACATAATAATAATACTATGTAATAAACATAATAAGATGTACGTATTTGTTTGATTCTGAAATTGAAATCGCAGTTAGCCGATCCAGGCTTGTGAAGGACGACCCGCAGTTGCCGTGACTAGTCTTTGTCGCTCTCTATCATGTCAAAAAACACGGTGGCTAAGCATCAAGAAGGAATAGAATACCTCGATGTCCTTACTAAAGCTGGTGAAAAAACAGGCATCTCCAAACCAAGGTACGCATACATAGCACCCAGAAATCGTTTGATTTTCTCAACTTTCCATTTTTAAACCGGAATTGTTTTTAGATATGATAGTTGAATTCCCAATGCTCGTTTTCTGTAGATATTTAAATTCAGTAATGTGATGATAGATAGGTTTCTAATTCAGACACCCAAAAGCTATGCCTCCAAGGTTGGGCATTACATGTCCTCAAATGATATATTCTAAAGCTAATTGCACCCATTGAGTTAGTTTATTGAAAGCAAGGAAAAATAAGACTAACTTTCTTTATTGACAGAAAAAGAGAATCGTATCTAAGTGTCCAAAAATGACAACAAACCCTTAGAATCCTGCTTTTTAGGATCTTTGAAACCGAAGTACCGCAAAGGCTCCTACCTCTGGTGGGGCCAGGGGGTCGGATGTATGCAGCCTTACCCTTGTACTCAAGCACACAAAGACTGTTTAACTTGTAACTGTACTGTCCAATTTTGTTTTTCTCTCTGTCAATAGCTAGTTAAATATGCCATCTTTTAAATATATTTAGAGATGAGAATAGTTTATTTTTTTTGGGCATCCTTTCTTTAATGACTGAGATACCCGTATTACTAGAAGTAAAGAAGACGTGTCATGGACCACTCTGAACTAATTCTGTCTTTATGTGTTTATTCTTTTTACTTTTGCATCATAAAATCTTTTAAAAACGACAGTCATTATCTTTTTTCATTCTACAGATTTAATTTTCTAGAATCCCGAAGCTAATGACTTGATGTGTTTGTAACATACCTCAGTTTGATTAAAGTTAGGATCTTTATGTTTGGGAATATCCTACACTTTGAAATATCACTCGTAGTATATCAAGCTTTACTTACTGAGTTACTGCTCATTATGAGCTTCTTTTAGAGAATTAATTGAAATAATAGTAAAGGATTACCAAAGAGGTGTTTAATTTGTGCTACTAATTTATACAACAGAGGAGATGTACACAGAGAAGGGGATTATCATCGAGCTGTTCATGTGTGGATATACGCTGAGAGTACACAAGAACTACTTGTGCAATGCCGTGCAGACTCCAAGGACTCATGGCCTGGCCAGTGGGATATATCAAGTGCTGGGCATATTTCTGCTGGAGATTCTTCATTGGTTTCAGCTGTGTAAGTTGTTCACCAGTTCACGGGAAAACGAAGTGTTTGGGTGACCCCAGAATCTCATTTGATGAATAGAATGTTTCTTAAAACGAAAGGTGATTGAGATGATGTGTGACCACCTCATTACATTAGTCTATTTGGATAGACTAAGACCTCTAAAGCCTTCACCTCCATCAAAATAGACCCTCAGGGCCTTTTTGGGTGGAGGCTTTCAGAGGCGTTAAGTTTTGGTGGGCTTAGTCTATGTCATGTTATTAAAAAATTGAAAACTTAGTATAGTATGTGGTACAATAACATTCCAATCACCTTTTATTCATTTTACAAACATTCAGTTTACCAATATATAGACTACCTCACTAACCCATCCAAAGCTTTCCCCTCCAAATCTCTGATGGAGTACACTATTCTTCAATTCTCAACACGTTATTAGATTGGTGTGAATTGAAAAATAGTACTCCTTTAAAATCCTCATATATATTCTTCATGTGCTCCATCTACCTCATGGGTTGTTATTCTTATATTAAATGGTCCTTTCTTTTGCTTCACGCATGCAGGAGGGAACTTCAAGAAGAACTTGGTATAACACTTCCAAAGGATGCATTTGAATTAATTTTCGTTTTTCTTCAAGAATGGTCAGTAGATGAAGCTCTTCTACATGTTTTTTTCCTTGTGGCTTTTTTCCGAGATTAGTAGCTGTGTGAATATCACTAGATGTGTATTTTTATCCTTTCATTACCTCACATTGTTTCATTCTATTTCTGTTTTTCTTTTGCAGTGTTATCAATGATGGGACCTATATCAACAATGAATACAACGATGTATATCTCGTTACCATGATAGATCCAATTCCTCTGGATGCCTTTACTCTACAGGTAAGCTGATGTGTTGAATTCTTTATTTCCTACCATTTCCATTTGTAGCAACTTCAGTATAGCATCTATGAATAAATTTTCCCTAACGGCCAATGCCAATTATTTCCAAGTGCCCCTATTTCTTCCCTTTTAAGATGATCCACATTTTAACTTTAGTTGAAATGAAATAATAACAACAACTACCTTAGTCTTGGACTCTTGGATTTGGAATGAGTTAGCTTATAACCCCTCCATGTTCCTATTTTTGCCCAACTGTATTTCTTTGGTTAACCCGGCCTTTCTTCTTTCTCTTCCACTTGTTTTTCTTATAATATCTGAAAACAGAAATCCTTATTTTCTAAGTATTTAATTTTATTTGATAAATCTAGATTAAGTTTTACAAAAAATTGAATTGTGAATTGCTTGAGTCAAGTTCCTTGTTGATTACAAGTATATCTTTAGTTTGACTGACCCACAAATTCTAAATGTTTCTTTTTGCGTTCTTTCATCTCTTGGTAGGAATCAGAAGTTTCAGCGGTGAAATATATCTCTTATCAGGAGTACAGAAGCTTACTTGCCAATGAAGATCCTCATTATGTGCCTTATGATGTAAATAGTGCATATGGTCAGCTCTTTGAAATCATTGAGAAAAGGTTTGCCTGACAAACAATACATGTGTTTTCAAAATATACCATCTCATATGCTTCAAAAAGATATTATATCATTATGATATTATCATATAGATATCCAAATGAATATTGTGCTTGCATCTGCGAGTTTAATTGTGTATTAATTTCCACAGATTTACATATAGTATGTAATCATTTTGCATCATATTGCAGAACCCTGTGTCCCTGTCAACCTATGAAGTGGCGGTTACACTTTCTAACCAATAAAATGTTTGTCTTAGTAACTTATCAAGTATGTCCAACTGCTATATATAACAGGTACAGACAAAATGTTGACCTGAGGAGTTTGAACCTACAAAAGCAGATTAATCGTTATGCTCCTGTTTCACTCAGTGCCGAGGTTTGACCGTCATTTTGTCTTTTCTTGCATAAAAAGTAACAACAGCTGAATATTCCATCTGGATATTAGTAGTTAAGCACTTAAGCATAATAGTAATGGAATACACAAGGAGTTTATTCTTACTTATTGAATAAAGCAATAGCAATAAATGGAGGGTCTACTGAGGGATAGTTTTTTCTTTCCCCCCTTTTTATTGTTTTTATTATGGTAAGCGAAATTGAAATATTGTGCTCCTTCAGCACTTACCTTTGCATCTGTTAAAAAAAAATAGAAAAAAGCTAAAACACTGCAGGAGACCATTATTTATTTTGTCCCTACCTTTTTTATTTTATAAATATTAACGAGACACATTATTAGGAAATGTTCAGAAAAAGTGACAAATTTTTTCCTTGATACAGACTGCCGGGATAAGTGATGCAGACAAAAAAGCTCTAGCTCTTATTGTCAAAGCTGCAACATTTATAGACAGGATTTTTTACTTGCAGGTTTAGTACTTTCTACTACTCCCAATAAAAGTTTACTGAATCATGCTCCCAATAATTTTTTTTCGCACTATATAACTGAAAAACTATAAAATTCAATAGCCTTCTAGCCTGATGTGATTTAGAACGCCACAAAAGAGACAATGTTAGTGTATACTTTCTCCTACCTTGTTTTCTTATTACTTTCTTTTTTCAACCATTTTTAAATTATCTTCGCTTTACTTATAAGTAAAACGTTCTGTGGTTGAAATAATTGATCTCTTTCCTAAACAAATCAAATGAAATTTTCCAGTTAAACAAATGGTATAAAATAAAAAAACCTAAGTAAGGAACAAAAGGAGATATTTTGTTGAAGGCTGTAAACATATATATGTATTCCTACGAATTTTGGGCCCACAATTTTTTTAATGGGGCCATATGTCAATGGTCTCAATGGCTTCAAGGGAAGCATGGCCCTGAGTGCCACCGCGCCCAATCACAAGATACTACTCTGTATATTGTTTGTATGAGTTGGAATTTGCAAGCAGCTACTGTTTCAGTATTTGTTTCATGTATTATTAATTTCTCACCCTACCTTTGCTGAGAAGATTTTTTTTGCTTTACTTTTTTTAATTAATTCCGACCCCAATATCTTCTGGGACTAAGGCTTGGATGTTGTTTGTTGTTGTAGAAAAATGTGACACGTGTTTGTAATTTTTAATTAATGTACGTGTGTAGTGTATTAGATAAGAATTAGAGCTGATAGAATGCTGATAGACTTCATTAATTATTAGATAAGCACATAGATAGAAAGATCCTATTTTTTAGGATCTGAATAGCAAAGTTGTTATCTGTACTCTGTATATATACTACTGCCGGTTGGCTCAATAATATTCAAGGAAGTTTTATTCCTAAAACCTACATGGTATCAGAGCTTCGGTTTACACATCACGATGGTAGAAACCACAGATTCTGATTCATCCCACATCACAAACCCTAACTCCCAAATTAGCCCTATGACAAATTACCAATCTCCTATTCATTCATCTATGCTAATCACCAGCCATAGATTGAATGGAAAAAACTATTTGGAGTGGTCTCAATCTGTCAAGCTTGCAATTGATGGGAGGGGAAAACTGGGGTACCTAACAGGAGAAGTCAAACCCAAACTTCCCGGTGAGGAAGGCTATAACACATGGAGGTCAGAGAACTCACTAGTAACAGCCTGGCTTCTCAGCTCCATAGAGGCCTCAATTGCCAAACCTCATATGTTCATGAAGACAACAAAAGAGGTCTGGGATTCCATAAAGGAAACTTACTCAGACCTTGAAAATTCTTCTCAAATTTTTGAGTTAAAAACCGTTCTTTGGCAGTCCAAACAAGGAGATAGAGATGTCACTACCTACTTCAATGAAATGGTGTCTCTATGGCAGGAGTTGGATCAGTACTATGATGATGAATGGGAAAGTGCAAAAAGATCTGGCCAAACACAAAAGGAGAGAAGAAAATGACAGGGTTTATATGTTCCTGGCAGGAGTTAATCAAAGTTTTGATGAAGTGAAGGGAAGGATTCTGGGAAAGAAGCCTTTGCCTTCAATCAGAGAGGTATTCTCTGAAATCAGAATTGAAGAGAGCAGGAAGAGGATTATGAATAACACTCCAGGACCTCAAAATGATACTGGAGACTCCTCAGCATTGGTGGTCAAGGGAGAAGAGAGAAAAAAGCCATGGTGTGATCACTGCAAGAAGCTGTGGCACACAAGGGAGACTTGTTGGAAGATCCATGGAAAGCCACCTGGAGCAGGAAAAAAGAAGTTTGAAAAAGCTCTCAATACTACTGTGACTGAAACTCAACAAGAGCAGGAAATCAATTCCAAACAGTTTCCTTTCACAAAGGAACATATAGAGCACCTACTCCAGTTTCTAGCTACCCAAAAAATACCCAACCAAGAAACCCCCTCTTGTTCTTTTGCCCAAAATGGTAAAATTACATCATATTTCTGTTCTGAAAAATCAAAAACCACCTGGGTCATTGACTCAGGTGCAACAGACTACATGACCTTTATTCCAAATCTGTATTCTTCATATACACCTTGTGCAGGGGATAAAAAAGTCAAAGTTGCAGATGGCTCTTTTTCCGCCATTGCAGGGATGGGAAATGTCAATATTTCCTCATCCATTCACCTTTCTAAAGTCTTTACATGTTCCAAAACTTTCCTGTAATCTTATTTCTATTAACAAGTTAACCGAAGACCTTCAGTGTTGTGTCAGATTTTATCCCTCTTATTGCATTTTTCAGGATCTCGCATCGGGGAGGATGATTGGCAGTGCTAGAGAGGAAGATGGACTCTATGTCTTTGATGAAGGGACTGAATTAAATAAACAAAGTCAAGGAAAGGCTTGTCTGCAAACTATTTCTTTTCCTTGTAATAATGAAGTGTATTTGATGCACTACAGATTAGGTCATCCTAGTTTTTACTACTCCCTCCGTCCCGGGGAGAAGTTCCCCGGTTGACTTTCACACATATTTATGCAAGAGTAGAAGACTAAAGGGTTTTCCAAATTTACCCCCACCCCACCTACGTTGAAAGAAAGCCGAAGGAGTTAAAGTAGTTGAAAGAAAAAAAAATCAATTGTGACTTGACAGGTCTACAGTGTAAAGTAGTAATCCATTCATTACATATTCGGCTGATCCAAATGGGATCTTTTCGTTCTCTTTAGCCCAATTTTTTTGGAGGGAATGATTACACAAAAAATTCAAAGTTCCCTCCTTTTCTATCTATACATAAAAGCGCCAACCCCCCCCCCCCCCCCCCCCCCCCAATTATTCATTTTCAACTCCATGGAGCTTTCTCTTGTTCTCTCCCAAACAGCAAGTACACCCATAAATGCCAGCATTTGTTCTCAAACTGGTCCACAGCCTGAGAATGGCTTTGAAGATGCCTCTGCCATACCTACAGGACACACAAATGCAGGCAGTCAGCAAAAACGATGGCCCAAACTGACAAATGCACAAAAAAGAATTATGGTTGAAACACTGCTAGCAAATTACTCCAATGGCAGACTTCTGAGGGGCATAGTGAGGAAATCAGCTTTGCAGTTCAAATGTTCAAGGTGCACTGTACATAAAGTGTGGACGAGAGCAAAGAAACAAATGACTGAGGGAGTAGGTATTAATGTCAACAACCAGCACAAAGGAGGGAAAAAGAGAGTCACCGTTGACTTAGAACAAATGAAAGCTATCCCCCCTGCACAAAAGAAAGAACATCAGAGCCCTAGGCTTTGCCATGAACATGTCAAAGTCATCTGTTCACAAATTAATTCAAGATAAACAGATTAAGAGACATTCAAATGCAATTAAGCCCTTCCTCAAACCTGCTGGTAAAGTAAAAAGGTTAGCATTCTGTTTATCTCATATCCTACCAAGGTCTATTCCCTTAAGCCCCATTTTTCATGACTTTCAAGATCATATCCACATAGATGAGAAGTGGTTCTTCTCAAAGGAAACCACCACCTACTACACCCACCCCAGTGAGGTATATCCTTACAGATCAGCTCAAAGTAAAAAATTTATACCTAAGATCATGTTTTTGGCAGCAGTAGGCAGGCCAAGGTTTGGGGATAGTGGTGAAGTTATTTGGGATGGAAAGATTGGTATATTTCCATTTACTTAAGAAGAAACAGCAAAAAGGGCAAGTAAAAAATAGACCAAAGGGTACTTTAGAAACAAAGGCAACCACAAGTGTGACTAGAGATGTTCTGAAGAACATGATAATAAACAAAGTTCTGCCTGCAATTAAAGAAAAATGGCCTGATTCAGAGAACAAAACTGTATTTATCCAGCAAGATAATGCAAGGCCACACATTAAGGTGGGAGATCCTGATTTTGTGAAGGCTGCTACTGATAATGGATGGAACATAAACCTAACTTGCCAGCCAGCAAACAACCCATATTTGAATGTCCTTGATTTGGGTTTTTTTCGTGCTATTGATTCATTGAAAGAACAAAAAGCTCCTCAGACTATTGCATATTTAACTAAGGCAGTTCAGAATGCTTTTGATGAGCTGACACCCTATAGTCTGAATAAAGTCTTTTTAAGTTATCAACTAGTTATGGAACAAGTACTCATTGCAAAAGGTGGAAATAACTTTCGCCTCAAACATATTGGCAAGGATAAGTTACACAAACATGGTATGTTGCCTAAAAATATTGAGATAAGTAATGCTTTACTGGAGGAATCTAAGGCTACTCTTATTGAATTGCAAGCTGAAGCATCAGGAACAGAGGACACAAACATGGAAGCAGAGGAAGAAGAATGATCTGCAACAGAGTTCATAAGTGAAGATCTGTTTGGTCTTCAAGAATGAACTTTGTGTATGTAATGCTTTATATGCACACATGTGATTTTTTGTATGAACTGCCAATAGATGCCAAACCTACAATTTTCTTATGTAGGGGCAGTGTAGTTGTTTTGTATGAACTGCTAATAGATTCCAGACCTACAATTTTTTTATGTAGGGGCAGCGTAGTTGTTTTGTATGAACTGCCAATAGATGCCAGACCTACAATTTTTTAGTGTAGGGGGTAGTTTAGTGTTTTTGGATGAAGCCATTAGATGCAATGACATGTTGAAATCAGAAAAGGTGTACACTTTTATGTTTAAGCAGATCCAACACACCTTAAAACACATGTTTGGTATAAATGCATGACTGGATTACAAGTTGGCAGTCCAATTTGGTAAAAATGACATGTTGAAATCAGAAAAAATGTACACTTTTATGTTTAAGCAGATCCAACACACCTTATAACACATGTTTGGTATAAATGCATGACTGGATTACAAGTTGGCAGTCCAATTTGGTAAAAATGACATGTTGAAATCAGAAAAAATGTACACTTTTATGTTTAAGCAGATCTAACACACCTTATAACACATGTTTGGTATAAATGCATGACTGGATTACAAGTTGGTAGTCCAATTTGGTAAAAATGACATGTTGAAATCAGAAAAAATGTACACTTT